ACTTGCTTTGCTCTCATACTTATGTTGTTTCCAAAAGTGTTTACATCGACCCGTTATCATCTGTTAGTGCATACTACAGGACCTAAAGTGTCATCAAAGTTTGCAAGGGTCGTTTTTGCCTTTAGCTCATAAAGCTTATTGGCCCGAGTATGGTGGACTAATAGTGTTCCCTTCTGAGCACATGAAGTGTCCCAAAAGCCTCTCATAAGGGCCCAACCGCTGGCAGGGCATCATGGTGTGAAAGTAGGGAAGGTGCTCCCAAACCCAAAGTTGGACGATGAACATACTCGTTTGCTTTGTCTTTTGGGTTTGTACACTTGCACAACTCCGCCTACACTACCGCTAAAACAAACTGTTTCGAGCTTTTTGTCCTATCTCATACTAATCTTCAAATAACAGCGGGAGCCACATGCAATGTATAAACCTATTGGACTTGTTGGTAAACAACACTCCCCAACCAGTAATAAGATATATGTGAGCATACCTCTTGACCTCCTCCGCTGTGGCATCCTCCCCCAATGTACCAATGTGCTCACTAGCCACGAGATTGACAACATCGACTTGTACAGTGGTTGTTCTTGATCGGCTTTTGGTGCTTCCATCGGGACATTGATGCCCAAACAATCACGTATTAGCGGCCCCCAAACACCTTGTGATTTTCTCGAATTCCCGATTATTGCCTCTCTCCTAATTGGAAGCTCGGTGAGCAATGCAATGTCCTTCAATGTGATCGGCGTCGCTCCATAGGAGAAGGTGGAAGGTGTGTGTCTCTTTCCTCCACATTTTTATCAACACCGTGAGGAGATTGTTGTCAATCTCTATCCCATGAAGAACCGTGTCTCTTTCAGTGACGGGCTTGATTCATTCATCACATTGGGGGCAAGGCGGATGTCCTCCTACGGGTGATGAAATCAAGTTGTTCCTATGAAGAAAAAAAACCATGATTTTTTTTAAAAAATATTGCAAACACTATTATAATTTAACATATACTAGGTATATGATCCATTGTTTACCGCGTCTTCCGCCCAAACACTTTGAGACCAATGAAAAGGCTGCACATCCAACAAATGTAGGTCTCTCAGACCTGGATGAATGTCTATTCTAGGATTGTAAATCTAGGCCCCCATCTAGTACGGAATAAAAATAAAATAATAGTGAAAATGGGTGAATAAAGAATTCAAATGCACAAACAATGATGTCCAATGACCAATAATGATTTAACTACTAAGATATTATTGGTCTTATAGCATCCCATGAATGATTCTCGTTGGTAAATTAAGCAATATTAAAATTGGAAAAAATAGGAAGATGCCCTATGAGATTTTTCTTACATTTTTTAGCAGATGTCGGACATAGGTTCGTTTACACTATGTTTGGCAACAAGGGGGGTGCAAGTTCGAGGGGGGTGCAAGTTGAGTGGTAAATTGTTGGGAGGTGCAACTTGGTGGAGGGTGTAAGTGGAGGGGTAAATTGTTGTTTGGATGAAAAAGTAGGGGGGGTGCAAATAGAGTAAAAAGTAAGTAATTATATTATTATAAAATAGATTTATCAATTTATAAAATATTATCACAAAATAATAACATGAAAATTCAATATATAATAATAATAAATAAATAAAAATAATTTTAATAAAAATAATTATTATTTTTAACAACAATAATAATCATTGGTCGAGCAACCTCGAAACTCGAAATCCAACTCGTAACTAGTCATCCTAAGGGGGTTCTCGTGCCTAACTTTAAATTGAATATGGTCAAACTTAGTCAAACACGTTCGAATCTGTAAGTTTTAACTACTTATTAAAGTAAATCGAGTTAACTAAACTGTTCCTCTCTATCTTTTCAACAAACGCTTCTTATCTCTAATTTTCAATGCAAATTTGGGTCCTAAGAGATATCGATTTGACGAGGCGAACATTGACAAACTTGCTCTCTGAGTCAAACGGTCAACCCCAAACAACTTCTACACTAATATAGATATAAGAAAAAATTAATAATATTAATTATTATGTAATTATAATCTAATTAAAAATTCATAATTCCCCTCCTCCCCCTTCCCCCTCCCTTCCTTCCTTCCCTTGCACCCCAATTTGGGGGGTAAGCCGAAACAGTGAATTTACGCTCACGTTTTGCACCCCTCACTGTTACAAAATAACCAAACGGGGGTAAACACCTTGGAACTTGTGTTTACCCCCCAAACTTGCACCCCCTTTCATTTACACCCCTTCCCAAACATAGTGTAAGAGTATTTGGGGGGGGGGGGGGGGGGGGATAACCAGCTCAAGAAAAATCATTATCGCATAAAAGATCGGGATTAGCCATAACCACAAATCATAATAATTTTTTTTTTTTTTGTGGCGGAAAGGAGAGAGTGGATAATGGAAGGCCTGGGGGTTAGTGGTTTCATGGGCCATGGTTAATGGAAGGCTCGGGGTTTGCACTTTGCATACACGGCGTTGGTGGGCTGCACAACAAACAGACGTCGTGAGAAAGTATTATCTAATCAACAAGGCTTGGACCAGTTCCGTTGTGCGGTCACACCGCCGACGGTGTCTTCCTAATGGTGGAGCTAAGGATTGTTCCATTACGTTATGGGTGATTCCATCGAAAAAGACGTTTAAAAATGAGAATAAGACAAATGACAATGGCACAAGATGCAAAATTTCCACGAAAAAGTGCAGTTGTTAACTTTTAATTATGTGTATAATCCTTTTTTTATAATAAAACCATCGTCCCGTACGTTACATTTCTTTTCGGAACGACCAAGAGGATGAACGATGTCGTAGTAGTATCATTTTTTTACTGGAACCATAATAGTTAGGGTGTGCCTACGGTGACATGCATGTCACGGTGACTTGCACTTTCCGGTCGACCTCAGTTAGGATTAGGTCGACCTCATTTAGAATTCGGTCGACCTCATATAGGATCCAGTCGACCTCATTTAGGATTCGGTCGACCTCAGATAGGATCAGGTCGACCTAATCTGTTGTTGCAGTGTAAAAAGAGTTCATGGTGCATACTTTGGATATTCATATCATACAATTGGCTAGATGGAAATTGAAGACTAATGACTTGTTTTGAAGCTGGAGTGTCCCTCTACATATTGAAGTGATTGAGAGCTCGATAGGAAGTTCAGAAGACCATTTTTGAACCTCATCAAAAGGCTATGCCAAAACTGGGAAACTGCCTGAAAGTGGTAAGTCTGGAAACATGTTTGTGAAGCCTATTTTGGAGCTCAATTCGAGAAGCATAAATGCGAGTCGAGTCCAGGAGCCTCTACCACATTAAATTAGGTATGTTTTTATACATATTCAAGGCATTGGATGAAAGATTGGATATCTGTAAGGCTTCAAACAAAAGGGTCGAAGTTGCTACGAAGGCTGTTTTTCTGGCAGACTTTGAGCACAAGCAAGCTGCCAGAAAAACAGTCTTTGTAGCAACTTCGAGCCTTTTGTTTGAATCCTTAAAGATATTCAATCTTTCATCCATTGCCTTGCCTTTGTATAAAAAAGTACGTAATTTAACGTGGTAGAGGCCCCTGGACTTGACTCGCATCCATGCTTCTCAAATTGAGCTCCAAAGTAGGCTTGACAAACACGTTGCCAGACTTGGCCATTTTCAGGCCGTCTCCCAGTTTTGGCATAGCCTTTTGGTCAGGTTAAAAAATGGTATTCTGGACTTTCTATTGAGCTCTCAAGTACTTTAATGTGTAGAGGGGCACTTCAGCTTCAAAACAAGCCTTTAATCTTCAATTTCCATCTAGCCAATTGTAAGATATGAATCTCCAAAGTAGACACCATGAAACTGTTTTTACACTGAAACAATAGATTAGGTCGACCTAATCCTATATGAGGTCGACCAAAAAGTGCATATCACCATGACATGCATGTAACTGTAGCAAATTCCTAACTAGGATTAGGTCGACCAAAAAGTGCATATCACCATGACATGCATGTAACTGTAGCAAATTCCTAATAGTTATTATGATTATTAAAACGTACGTGTGCTACTTACGTTATCAAATTTTTAATTATTTCATTTACCAGGTGAAACGGATGTATGATGGATGAACATGACTCTTGTTGACACGTTGATTAGAATTTTACTACCATTTTCACCATTGTAAAAAATGAAATCAGTGGTGTTTCTTGCGAAACCAATTTATTTTAGATGTAAACAAGTGGTGGCTATTTGTTTGTACTGGCAGGCCTATTGACACAGGGTCTTTCAAGAACAGGCGCTTCGATCAACCACAATTAGACTATATTTTTTTTATCGGTATGGATTATTGGGATAAAATATAGGTCCGGTGTAAAAACATAAAATTAATTCTTAGTTGATATTATATAACATAGATTAAGATGTTAACACCTAATTTGTTAGCATAATGCTAATACTAGCTACTCCCGTCAATAGTCACAAAGAATAGACGTTATTCGGACCAATCCACTACCAAATTGATTGCCACAAACAAAATTAGATTAATAGTTTAAATGAAACCCTTTACTAAAATTTTAATTATTTACTAAGATTGAAAAACCAACTTGTATATGCGGTCCTGAAGAAAAAAAAACTCTTACCAGAGTATAAACCAATAGACAATTTTTAACGATATGAAACGATTGAACTACGATTAAACTACTGTTTTAGAATAAAATACGCTATGAGTACTTTTTCCATGTAAACTACAATATAGTTTTACAATATCTGTTATTTACCCTTAACATGTAGAATTCTATATTAAACGTGCCGTTATTCCAACTGGATTTATAGGTTGTCAAGTGTTTTAATAGTCGAGTTGGTTAATCTAAAACGACATCTCGGATTTTATAATTAAACCAATTTTGCGAGAAGGAAACTGTGCGTTAAGCTTCTAATGGTAAATAATTGAAAATCAAATTTCCGTGACAGACCAACAACACCAATATATATATATATATATATATAGTATAGTAGAAGTGCTCCAATATATATACTATACTTAATAAATAAATATTCCGTATTAATTCAACAGGCACACGAGTAAGTTATAAAACCTCCCGCGGGTCTCTCAATCATCCCCGCATTTCTCGCTACTTGTAACCCCGGCCACAGCAATCAAAGCAAATTCCGTAAAACCAGAAACGTACTTGTTGTTTCCGTACACATTCCCATAATCGCACAGAAAAACCTCTCCTTCTATATGATCCATCTGATCTCACCATGAAGAAAATGCTGCGCAAACTCTCCGCCGCCAAGGTCACCCTCACCATAAGATCTTGCACCGGCACCGCAGCTTATTACTCGTCCCGACTCCGGAGCTCCGACGCCGCCACCCGCCACCCAAGGAGGAGGGGCGTTGTCCCGGCGGGACACTTCCCCGTCCACGTGGGTACCGACCAGGAGGCGACGGAGAGGTTCGTGGTGAGCGCCAATCTGCTCCGACACCCGGCCTTCATGGACCTGCTCGAGATCTCGGCGGCGGAGTTCGGGTACGGGCAGACCGGGGTGCTCAGGATCCCGGTCCGGGTCATGGTGTTCGAACGGATCATGGAGTCGTTACGGGTCGGGCAGGACCCGAAATAGGTGCGTTATTGGGAGGGCGATTTTATGGTATGCAGAACGTTGACGTCGCCGCGGCCGTCTCGATCGTCGTCGGCCGTGCCTGTGCCGGTCCGCTGATTAGAATTAGATTATATATACAGGGAGATTTTATTCATTGCCACCTGGCGGTAGGATATATTGATGTGAATTATTTGATTTGGATTTGATTATGTAAACCATGATTTAATTTGTGATATACATATATCTGTAAATCAATGTGTACTAGGTAGTGAATATTCCAGCTATTTTTTTTCTTACTGTGGGTTGTGAATTGATGATTAGTCACCGGATCAAATGGCTTCGTAGATTTGGGGGTTGAATTAATCATATGAATTGATAGCGGGAAAGTTAAAATCAAGTTACTAGTAGGGATAATGTGCACATAGCCACATATTATATTGATGATGAGATTGTATTAGAGACTTTCTAAAGTTTGTCATTCACTAGTTCTATACAAACCACTCTATAGGTACTAGCTTTATTCCCGGCCATCGGCCGGGTAAATAACTAAATATTTATATTAATTATTTCAGATAATATTTAAATTAATTAATTTATTATATTGTATTTGTATTTTATCAAACAAAATATGTTTTTAGAATGAGATTAACCAATTTTAACTAATTATTTATCTAATATCGATTTTTTTTATAGAGTGAAAGTATTAGGTATAAGATATTATAATACATAAGAACTGCAAATACAAAATTAGGAAGTCTAATTTGAGAAAATAAGTATTCTATTGATTTGTTTGTGCCTAAAATTCATAATATATTCTAGAATTTTTAAATTCCCACAAACATTCATAAACGAAAAAACTCGAGAACATTCACCGTAAACATAAGTTCAAATCGTCTCTTCTTTCCACTATACTACCATAAACTTTGGTTGGATACCCTATTCCTTAGAAGCAATTTATTGAGATTTACATAAAAATCAAATATAACTAATGATCTATCCAAAATGTTCCTAGCCTCCCAAGTCCCACCCCACCTTCTCTCACGTTTTCCCATTTATTACTGCTTACTAATGTAAACGCCTAACGGAAAGAGGAGAAAATGGAGGAAGCAATTGCTTTTTTTAACCAAACGTTGCTACCATTCGAGGAATTTGAAAAGGAAAAAGACGGGAACAGTTTTTGTATTTTTTAGTATGCTGACGTGGGAGCATGATTCCAGTTTAAGGCTGATGTGCCAGTGGTCTAAATCTTAAACCCTTTTAATATTTTTATAGATAGATGTATGTAAATTTACTAAGGGGTTGTTTGGATTAGGAAATTGGGGGAGAGATTTTGCCACAATCCCTGCCTTTTCCGGATTTCATCACATTTCTGCGATTAGATAGGATGCAAAATCTGAAGGATTTTGACCATTAGGAATTTTAAAAACCTGTCATACAAGAATTTCAAAATAACTGATAGCCCTCATTTGTTTCAAAATCACTCATTTTTTTATTTTGTTCTTCCAACCAATACCTCTGCTACCCACCTCATCACCAACACCGCAGTCTTCTTCCTCAACGCCGATTCCCCCTCCCTTCGAGCACCCTCTCTCCGAGCCTACCCAACCCCATTGCCCGCAGACTACCCAATCGTATCGCTCGTCGCGGCCGTCTATGCACATCTTGTGTCCTCCGCCTCCACCCAGCCTCCACTCCTGGTGCGCTCCTCCAGTCGCTAGGTCAGAAAACAGGGGAGCTCTTGCAGTTCTCCAACTGCAGCTTGCCCATTCCAGATGCGCTCAAGATGATGGGAAGAGGTTGTTCAAAGACTAGGCTAAGTCTCACCAACGAAGGAAAGAGAAGGAGACAGGCGGCGAGAGTGGAGTTTCTCTTGCCAGATTCAGGCAAGGAACTAGTGTGGAGATCTGTATTGGAATCAATTGTGGAGAAAGGGGGGTGAAAATGAAAATTGGCCCACGTTCATCTAAAACCCTAGTCCATTACCAAACACAGAATTTGGCCTAATTTCCTAATTTAAAATACCTTGTTATTTAATTTAGAGATTTGGCCCACAATCCCTCACAAATCTCTAACAACTAATTTGCTATCCAAACGACCCCTAAAGAGACTTCGCACATTCGAAACAAGTGCTCATTACTTAAAGCTAAAACTATCACTAATCATCTTACTTTTACAGTGACGTCTCATTGACACTATCATCGGTTGAGAAGAGTCATGTGACGAGTGACTATTTAGCGGTACATTTCATTTCTAATATTATAGATAAATGAAAAAAAACTATCTAGCTGCTACATTATTAAGTTGCTTTTTATCTTAGTATGTGTTTTCTGGCAAGAAAATTTGTGTTGAATAGAATTGATTGCACTTTTGATGTCTTAACAACAAGTACTAAGACACGACTAATTTATCTTCAAACAAAGTTCAAATAAGAGTGTTTGGGAATGAAAAACTAATTTAAGTTACTCCTACACCTATGGAGGTACAGTGAGCGATTCAAACTACGACTGTGAATACATTTGCAAAGAAAGGATAAAACTTGACGTAGGCATAACTCGTAAGTTGTGTGGTTTTGGGAATCCTTGTCTTTGTCGACTCCTACTATTTATAGTTATGTTGAGGTAACCGTCCTGGAGAACCATATGCTTGATAAATGCTAACAAGAACCACTCGTCTTTACTCCGAAGTGGTGGTTGCTCCTTCAACCCCTTAGGTGCCTCTCTTGAAACTGTTGTGGATCTTGAAGTGTAGCTTGCCTCGCCTGGTCTTACTCCAAATCTTGTTCCATGCCAAGGTCTTAACTCATGGCCACGTGACAACTTCCTCACGACTGTGTGGTCGGCTCGTTACGCCTTTCATGGCATGGACCTTCTCGTGACTTATATATCTCGGGCTTGCGGCCTCATGGCCTCCTCGCAAAATCATGGTCGTCTACTCACGACCACATGTTCACCTTCTCGCTTCCGCGTGGTCAGCAACTCATGACCACAACGCGTTCGTCCCATCGCAATTGTGTGGTCATGTGGCATATTGTCATGGCATGACTTATTGCCTCCATGGTTTCCTATGTCTCTTCGCGACCATATGGTGGCTTCGTCGTTCTCACGTGGTTGTCTCATCGCGACCATGTGGTTGTCTTCTCCTTGATATATTTTTGGGCATGTGGATATGGAGCTTGATCTTAGGTCATCACCCCTTGCTTCAATATGCCTTACTCGCCATGACCACTATCCCGCGTCGTTCAATGCCCTGACTTCTGATGAGAAGGTCATGAGGAGTGCATATAAGGTAATAAGTAAGCTACCTATTTTAAAATAAATTTAATAAATTTATAAAAGGCTATAATAGTTATTCGGGTTAATACTCTAGTTTGGATAGAAGTTTGGCGTAAGTGTCAATTTTGGTTCGAATTTTGGAATAAGATATTTATGGCCATCTTTTCAAATTATTGGACAGTTTGGCTCCCGACGCTTGGTTTGACCGTCAAATAGTTTAAAAATTGGTAGTATATTTAATAATTTTTCAATACAAATATTAATGCTTTATTAACAATTTGAATGTACAATTTTCAAATAGAACCATTTAATGTGTCGATAAGTAATTCAACCAACAGACCAAATCAAATCTAAGCAATAATATTACCATCCACATAGGTCTTTCTATGTTCAAATTTATACTTTTATTGTCTTAACACAACTGAAGGGTAATTTTATTCATTAACACATAAAAAGTAAATTCCCACAAGGGACCAATTTGTTCATTAGTCTTGAGAAAGAACTTCGTCAAACGAGTAGATCAAAGGAGGTTGATAGATTTTCGAATACCCTAAATATTTATTCCCCTCCATTGTTCATCGTGGATTCAATTTATCCATACCAACAATCGGTAGCTAGTGATAGATAAGAGTAGTCACTTTTTCTTGGACACTCCACAAGTGCCGACAACTAACATTCAATCCCCCAAAGGGACGATCACGCCACCTCTCAAAACGGGGAAGATGGCTTCAAGAAGTTCCTTAATGAAGTGGGACTTTTTTCTGGCATTATTAGTGTGCGAAGGATGGCCTCCCACTTCTTTCAATTAATACCCCTTTCCTCATCTGCATACTCTGGTTTATGGTGAAGTTCTTCTGCCAGCCAGTGTGTTCTTTGTAAAGAATGACTTCTTCCACCCATCAACCAGCAGAGCAGCCACTTCCATCAGCCATCCCTTTTCCACTCCTCCATCTCATCCCTGCTCAAATAGTTGGAGAATTAAGGAGATAATAAATTTAAAAAGATAAAGGCACATTGGTGGTTAACTGGATCTCTATCTATTAGTGGACTTAAGCAAAGATGTATTGTTATAGCAATATAGCAGAAATTAACACTAAGAAAAAGAAAAGTACACCAAAACAGCAACGGCTAATGCTTCTTCCTTGCTTTTGTTTTTTGGTAAAGCAAAATAGACCATAAAAGATGTTATAACTTGCATTCATAGTCAATCGAGGTTTAAATACCTTGATGTAGTCGTGTATAGATTAACAAACCAGACTTGCATTAGGGCTATCAATTATGTGATAATCAAATGATATACTATGGCCTTTTTGAGTTACATGATTTAGGTCTTCTGCATGAAATTGCTCTCTCGGAACACAAAGTGTGTAAGTCAATTTTCTCACTATAGAGCTGGATATTGGTGAATCCATGTGATGAAGATATGTATTGGTGAGTGTGGTCAGTTTGGTGGATGAGTTGGAGCGCAATGACAAAATATACTCGTCGAACTACCCTAATGAACATTCATTCCCAAAAATGAGTTTGAGATCATGTAACACTCCCTTAAATTTACCTTCAATAGTGATTCCAACTCCTGGATTGACCTTCAAAACATTTATGAGTTGTTTGTGCTTCCTTTAATCATGTTACTTTTAGAGATCGAGTCCAAAAGGATCTTTGATAGGGCTATCACTATCAGGGATTGTCCCGATGACAGTTGGATGTGCCATTTGAGTCCGCTTATCATAATATAGAATTTAGGCAAAAGAAACATTTTTTGACTTGCAAAAACCATCAGATGTGTGACATTTAAAAATGAAAAAGAGTCGCATTTAGAAATACTTAAATACCACATTCTCTAAACAACGGCGAAGATTAAGTGAACATTGGTAGAGTAACAACATTAATAAGAGAAAGTCATCAATCACAAATTGTGGCGTGGACTATTGTTACTCAAGTTGTCCTTAAACCACGAAATTGTAAGTGTCTGCCCCATCTTTGGAGAAGAAGTACATTTTTATGTCAATCCTTTTGCACTTTCAGAAGAGAACCCTTGCCAAGATGAGGGCAAACAACAGTACTTACAATAATTATCATGAAAATGAAGATTAAACTCTGTGAGG